ATTGCTATCATATTGGAAATGTCTAAATCTGATTTTGTTCAGAGGAACATCTTAGCTCGGTCGAATCCCATTCTGCCCTGGTAAGAGTACCTAACATTTAGATTTTTTTCCCAAACTTAGTTTTTCATGTCTTTAACATGAAAAAAAATAAATGTGAACCTATCTTCTTTTTTGTCACTAAGACACAAAGAATAAGATGAGACAGAAAAACAAAAGCTGTTGATTAGGAAAGCAGGTCTTGAATCTTTCATCCCTACATCAATGAGGGAGAAGGACTCTCCTGCAGGATTGATTGGGTTTTCTAGTAGTGACAGCTTGGGGTCCTTGAAGAAGTACAACTAGGGCTTCCTGTTTGTTGACATTAAAAGAACACTTTCTGTTCTGGTGGCTTTTCTCAAGACACTTAAAATAGTGATAATGTAAATATCATTGCTCTAAGTGTGAATCCTGAGCTGTACTCTACAACCCTGACAATTTACAAAAAGCAACTGATAATTCTCACCTCTATTTCTCAAAGATAGCTGCCACTCATTGCTGAAGGCTTGTTCAGGATTTTGCTCATCGTATTACTGGAGTTTGTGTATCTCACAGCAGATATGCCCACAGGATTGACTTCTGTGGGGCGATGGTTTTGCCTTCCCTAAGGAGCTGGTCATCTATCCTTGTGCTCATCATAGATTTCCAGCACAAGTAGTGCCACAAGGTAGAAAGTGCTGCCTACATGGACCTCAGCTCCAAACCCACTTGCAGGAAGCAGGACAGGTCACACCACCTAGATACTTTTGTCAATTTTTACCTTAGTGAATAGAAGGGGAGAATGGGAGGATTTGGCATAAGTGGTGAAGCTGAGGTTTGTGATGACAGTCCAAAGCATATGAGTCTGCACACATATAAATAAGTGGTGAGTAAATATTATTTATCTGCCATCTCATTTCAAAGAGAGAAGCAAGATGATGCTCACACTGCAGAGGAGAGAACAGATGTGTGCTCCTTTCACACCTTCACCCTTAAATCTGCCCACCAGAAAGGTCCTAAGACCCCAAACTTGCAGTACAATCTTCAGCAGGGTGTCCTCCTCCTGTAATTCTCTCTCCTTTTGTTCTGACCTCCAGCTCATGGCCACTTCTTCCTGAGCATTTCTCACTAGCATGAGGAAACATGCATGATGCGGCATGCATCATACAGCTACCCAGGATTTTGGTGATTGCAGGTTGGCACACTGTCTAACATGACTGCTTACCTGATCCAAATATTAAAGGGAGTTTTAACCCTGAGGGGTCCCCAGTCTTCACTATGAGCTCTAACAAATGAAAGTTCTGAAAATTTTGGTATTTCTCTTTTTTTTTCATGTGTGATCTGTTTTTCTCATTTACTCACTCAGCCTTTCCTTCCTCTTACCAGATGTGGATTCTTCAAATGTGACTTATTTCAGAAATTCATGATAGATTCACTGTGATTTACATATCCTTAAACACAGAATATCAAGCCTGGGAGCAGTACAAGGGGGCCAATTTGGTATCACCTCATTTGAGTACTGTTTCTCAGATCACCTGACTAATAGCAGAGAGCTCACGCTCTGTTCCCTGATCTCCTAGGGTGTGCTGTGCCAGGCTTGAGGGTGATGGATCACAGCTGGGGAGGGACATGCCATGGGATTTCTCTTAGGTCATCTTTATGAATTGTTCGCATTCCCCAGGATGCTCTGATGCTTTCTAACAACCATTGTACATCAGCATGGACAATACTATAGAACTTGCTTTACAATTCCAATAAGATATATTTACATAATTTTAATCATATATACTCCATGTGCAGCATTTACTGATATGGTTGTTTGTGGTTCAAAACTGGAGATAATAGGATAATTAGAAAAGTATTTCCTCGGTTTTCTACAGGCACTATGTGGAGAAAGAATTGTTTTGTTTAAGAATACATCAAATTGTTGGGACTGGGATAGAGGCTCAGTGGTAGAGCACTTGCTTAGCACATATGGGGTGCTGGGTTCGATCCTCTGCACCACATAAAAATAAAATAAAGGTATTGTGTCCAACTACAACTAAAAACCAAAAATATTTTTAAGAATTGTATATTAAATGCATACATCAGGAAACAATCTAAGATTTTCCTTTTCTTAATACAGAAATTCACTTTTAACAAACAATTTTCCACTGATTTTAAGGCAATGAACAAACAAACCTATGAATTTCGGAATATGATTGCAAACATATGGCACAGGACACTCCTGATTTTCATTACTCTTGTTTGCAGAACTGCAAATATTTGATCACACTGAACTTAATGTCATCCAAAGGTCTTGAGACACAGGTGATTAAAATATTCCATTCAATGAGTGTTATATTACTTGGTTTTTATAAGGATCAAATGTCTGAAATGAATTAAAGCAGATCCTGAATGTTACAGGAATGATGTGATAGAATAATTTTTTTTTGGTTTTGTTTCATAATATAATTTTTGTTGTTTTTGAAAGAAGACAATTTAAAAACATTTTTTGTACATTTTTTTTTGGTATAAGGGATTAAAGCCAGGGCTAAGGTTAACAACTGAGAAACATACCCAACTATTTTTATTTTTTTATTTTGAGGCAGGGTATCACAAATTTGCTTAGAACTATGCTACATTACTGAGACTGGCTTTAACTGGTGATCCTACTGTCTTAGACTCCTGTGCCAGGCCTAGAACAATTTTTAGAAGTTATGTATCACATGTTATTATGGATCCATTTAAACTTATACTATAAAGTTCCCATAGGTACTTGACTTATGTAAAACAAATTTGTAAGAATGGGCAAATGCCATTTATATGTACATAGATGTCACAAAATAAGACAGCTCTATTCTAGTGATCCAATATGATCCATAAAAGCTGGAACACATATAGATATTAGATTCCCAACTTTATTTTTTCTGGACTTATGATGGGAGACAACTCCCAAACCTTGAATGAGTGAATGGAAAACTTTTTATTTTACATGATCATTACTTGGTAGAAAAATTGTCTTTTTCTAGTGGTGGTCGAGAGTTTTCATTTTCCACAAATAGTGCATGTTGGCACTCATGCCTTGAAGCTGAAAAAGTTTATCACACAGAAGCCAAGAACACAAAGACTTTCTATATCAATAATAAGAAAGGGAATTAGATAGATGGTGGGTAAGGAGTGCAAAAAAACTTTTAACAGAGCAAAGTTTTATAGCAAATAGAGTGATGAGGCTATAATGATGACTTATAAAATTCAAAATAACCAGAGAAGAGTTTGCAGGTTTCCAACATAAAAATGATAACAAATTGAGAAGATGGAAATTCCCCTGATCTGATCAAAGCACAATCTACACACATCTTGGATTATAATGCTAGGTCTCATATATAAGTACAAATAGCAGATTCCAATTAAAAATCAAAATAAAGAATCAACACTTTGATGTTTTAACCTAGTTTCTACAGATTTTTAAATGATATCTCATGTTCATAAATATTTTATATTTCTGCTTTCTCTCTTATCTTGGGTTATATATAGATCTATATGTACTACAAAGCCATTTGGCCACACATGCATGATTTTGTGATAAGTGTTATTTTTCAATATATGGCTGGAAATGATTTAAAATGCATACTTACTACTATTTCAGACACTTCAGTTAAAGCACAAACATGCCTTGTATAGAAAAACTTCCATTGGTAGATCAACATCAAATTTTCTGTATCAAATTTATGCTTAGGTATCTGAACTGAAAAATTGCTTCCTTCTTTGAGATGACAATTGAGACTTTTTTGAAGGTCCTTCATTCAGGCTTTGCTCCAATGATTTCTTTAATGAGAACCTTACAATGAAATAACTTGGAATCTATTTTAACTGTGACTTTAGTTACCATACTAATTACAGTTGCCTTAGTAGAAAACATTAGAATATGTTCCTACTAATATTTGGTAGCTGGAATTGGCTCACTTATGATAGTTATTTTGGTGGTGATAAAAATGGGTATGTAAGAGGTATAGCTATACTGGGAATTCAAACACAGTCCTAAAGTGCCACCAAAGATCTTTCTACATACATTTTTAAAATGTTCTACCATTATGGAAAAATCTTGAGGTAGCCACAGAGATAGACATTATTAAAATTAATAATGAATTACATATCCCAAGTCATATAAATGACTTGCATTAATTAAAACACATTGGCCAATATATCTAGAAGTCATTATATGTCAGAAACACTTCCATATTTGGTACTTCATCGTCTTGCACACAAAATACCTCTAGAATTCACATAATAGGACTGCCCATATTTCATAGATGAGATGATCACAATTCACCAACAAGGATGACTCAAGGTAACACTTGAAACCAATGGAAGATAACAGAAATTCAAACAATTTGTCATAAAGTGGGTAATTCTCAATGTTGGCTCAGTTGATGTATTAAAGATGTTAGGTCTGGTAATAAACCAGTATAAAGATTGCACCAAAATAATATATTGTAGTTTAAAACTACTCCATTGAGATTAATTTCTTGAGAGAGATGGCATTCTCTACAATTATGTAATCCTCCCATTTGAATTCACCAAAATTAGGCATTTTCAATATGCACTTGGGACTTCACTGAGGAGAGAAAGATGAAAAACCAATAAGACACTACTCCAGAAGACTTCAAGATAAGATTATAATGGAGAATTTTTTAAATAATATATAGTAGTTCTGAATGGATAGGAAAGCTGATGTACAGTGGGAACTCAACAATTGTTATGCAATTCAGACCTGATTTGGTAATAATAGAAAAAATTACACTTGGCAGGTGTCAGAAAACTTTTGAGTGCTGAATTGGGAAAAGGGTGTGTTAGGGTGAATCCACACATTTTCTGATGGTAATAGGAGAGGCTGAGATTCATGACTGTGATATTATTTAAATAAAGATTTTTTTCTTCATTGCCTCTGAAGATATATACTCTGTGATTCCTTGCCTAAAAGAAGAAAAAGACCAACCAACTATATGATTTTTGGTTTTACCATAAGGAATGCATTTTTCTCTGAAAAACAATTTGGGATCTTGGTCAACTCCATCCTTCTTCTCTTCCACATCTCCATATTCCTCCTCCAGCACAGGCTCAAGACCACTAACCTGATCATAGGTCTCTTGGCCCTAATCCACATAGGGATGATGATAATTTTAGGGTACATAGCTGCAAGTGTCTTTGTGTCTCAGGATTTGGGGGATTACATCAAATGTCAATCAGTTATCTACTTGCACAGGTTTCTGATGGACTTCTCCATTTGTGCCACCTGCCTGCTGAGTGTCCTTCAGGCCATCATCCTCAGCCCCAGAAGCTCCTGCTTGGCCAAGTTCAAACATAAATCCCCACAGCAGACCCTGTGTGTCCTTGTTTTCCTGTGGGCTTTCTACATGTCCTTGAGTGTGGTGAGCCGTGTTGGTAGACCGTTGCCGCCATTAGAAGATGGCGCCGGTCTCCGTTGTGGATCTTGGTAAACAACTCCTTATTAGGAAGAGTTGGCGCGCTGTCCCTCAATACCCTATGAGAAAACCCCGCGTGGCAGCTTTGGATTGGACTTGAGTAAGCTTTATTAGGCTGTGTGTGGGTGCGGCGAGAGAGAGTGCGCTTGAGAGAAAACTAGAGTTAAGGCCTGAATAAACCGCTGAAAGAAGAATCCTGTGTCGTGTCTTCCTTGCTGGCGAGGGGGTCGCGACACTTGAGTGCTCACTTCTCATTGTCTTCTACTGCCATTCCCAATGTGACCTCACATGGCCATGTATTTATTACTCAATCTTGCACAATTTTACCCATGAGTTACTTCATCAGGCATTTATTTTCCGTATTAGGTGTATTCCGGGATGTCTTTCTTATAGGACCCATGGCCCTCTCAAGTTCATACATGTTGGCTCTCTTGTGTAAACACCAGAGGCACTTCCAGCACCTTCAAAGCACCAGCCTTTCTCCAAAAGCATCCCCTGTACAGAGGGCCACCTGGACCGTCCTGTTACTCATGAGTTTCTTTGTGCTCATGTACTGTTTGGACAGCATCTTCTCCTCCTCAAGATCTATGTGGAAAGATGACCATCTTTGCTTTTATGTCCAGATGGTGGTGGCCAATGGCTATGCCACAGCCAGTCCTTTGATGCTAATCTGCACTGAAAAATGAATTATTAACTTCTTAAAATCATTTTGGTTAAGATAGCAAAAATTTAAGTACTGATGATAGATAAGTTCTCCTAATGTGCCAATACACTGGCTTCCAAACAATAAATCATGTCATAGAACAGATACTCTCTGGATTATGTGAATATGGAGATATGCATTTTTTGTTAAATCTGTTAGAGACATGTGAATAACAAATGTGTCACAGAAACGTCAATGCTTTACCTCTTTGAGATAACACAAGGGTCCAACATATCTGCCTGGTGTCAGCAAAAGATTTTTATGAGGAAGGTGTGCATTAGCCACTATAAACACATGGAGAATGTATATCATGTTTTAGTAAGTGCTTTAAATGAGCTGTATTTTTCCCAACTAAATATGTCAATATTCACTGCCATGAATTACCACCAGAACCACCAATTGTTCTTTTACTAATCTGCTAAAAAGAATGGAATGTAGGGATTTAAGATATCATATATAAACCGGTTCTCATAATAGCATTATTAACAATAACCCACGATGGAAGCAACTCAGTGTCCAAAAGCATATGAAAGTATAAGCAAAACATGGCCTCAGCATATTATAGGATATTATTCTTCTTGAACAAGAACAACAAAAATTGCATGAGACAGTAATTCACAAACCTTTCATGTGGAAGGTAGAACTGAGTTTAAAAACACATACAGACAGAAAATAGATTTGCAGTTACCAGGACCTGAGGAAAGTTGTCATTGAGGATTTCTTATTTGATAGCAGGGAAGGGACAGATGGAAAGATTTCAGTGAAAGACACCAAGAACAGAATACAAAATCAGTTTGAGTACTTCTATTGAACAGTAGGGTTCATTAAAACAACCTTATGTCTGTTTCAAAATAAAATTCACAATACGTAAAGACAATTAACAGCTGAAGAGGTGAAAACATTTATTACTATGATTTGATTATTACAACTTATGAACATGTACTGAATTACCATAATGTCCCACATAAAAATGCATAAATATATATCTTTAAAAATAGTTTTTGGTAACTTTATTACAGCTATAAAAAACTCACTGAAATATAAATAATTTTATATCTCATGATTCTAAAGATGCCAAAATATGATTTGTATAATTTTCTAACAGTTTTAATGCATCTTCTGGGGGAAAAGCAGTTTTTTATCCTTAATAAATTTACCATCTGATCCAGCAATCACACTTACAGATTGTACCCACATTATTTGTAAACTTATGCCCACAGAAATGGGGTATGTTGCTGATGACTTGGTCCTTGTTCCTAATGACAATTGAATTAAGAGGACATGGTTTTGAGGAAAAGGAAAAGCAGGTATATTATTGCTTTTGTAAAAAAGAAGATTCACAGTGTACTACAGTTCCAGAGGCTGTAATTCTGCTCATTACAGGGAAAAGTTTTTGTTGTTGTTATTTTATTTTGTTTTGTTTTATTTTGCTTTGTTGTTTTTTATACTGGTGATTGCACTCAGAGGCTCTCACCGTTGAGCCCCATCCCAAACCAATTTTGTATTTTTATTTAGAGACAAAGTCTCACTGAGTTGCACAGCACCTTGCTTTTTCTGAGTCTGGATTTGAACTCAAGATACTCATGCCTCAGCCTCCAAGACCCTGGGATAATAGGCATGAGCCATAGTGCCTGGTAGAACAGGCAAGTTTGTTGTTGTTGTTGTTGTTTGTTTGTTTTTGTAGAAGCTATTCAAAAACTGCCTGCCAGATATTCCCTGTAGGAGAACTGTGATCCCCTTGGTAATTTGGGAGACAGCCATTCCTTAGATCTTCAGGTGCTATTCCTGAAGGCTGAGTGACTTGGTTCCTATGGTGGGTGTGTGCTCAAGGCTGTCTGGATCTAGGAGGGGAAAAGAAAACTTTGTTCCTAGCCCCCCAAATTAAGGAGGGGGAAAGGGAGATGAGGAAAAGAAAACATGTCCATTAAAAAAAGTCTTAGTGGCAGATCAGCAAGGGCTCTATTCAAGCCTGAGGCAGACCACTACTATATATGTAACTATTGACAGCAGCTTTATTCACTAACACCATAAATTGGAAGGAATACAGACATTCTTTTGCAGATTAGTGGAGAAGCAAATGTATTTTCCAAGAAATATTCATTCAACAAAAAAAGAGTAGCCTATTGATTAGCTCAACAATAAAAATGAAACTTAAATTCAGTTTACTGAGTAAAATAAGCCAGGATGCAAAGGGTACTTCTTTTATGCCATTTATATGACACTCCTGAGAAGGAGAAAATATAGAATAGACTTGGGGCTACTGATTTTCAGGGGTGGACAAAAGTGTAGCCCTTTAATAAAAAGTGGATGTGGCCTGGCATCCTGTGCCTGCAGCCAGCTTCTCAGGAGGCTGAGGCAGGACAGCATAAGCCCAAAAGAGTGAGACCAGGCTGGGCATCACAGCCAAGATTCTGTGTTAAAAAAAAAAAACCCAGAGACAATAAGAACAACCAGCAGCAACAACAACAACAAAGTACTGAGGCCACTTTCAAGGTGAAGGAACTTTTTGCACTATGCTGGAATTACACATAAATGGATGCCTGCCATTATTCAACATAATGGAATTCATTTTACAAAAATCCTGAACTCTAATGTGCAAAAAGAAAAAGAAAAATTTTAAAATGGAATTGATCTGAGGAACTCTGACAAGTGCTGTTTGAGCTAGAAACTATAAGACCATAGATAACATCTGAGATAATGTACACCAACAATGTGCTCTAATAGCAAGCTTGTTACAGAAGCATTGATTAAGAATTCATAAACAGCTCTTAGAATAAAACAAATATGTATACGGTGGTTAGTGGACATGGGGCTGTGTACTGTTAAGTCTAGACTGAGACCTGCTGCACTGCATCATGGTCAGAGACATCAACATGAACTTGTGTAGCTTGATAATGATACATGTGAATAAATCCAGAAACAATAAAGCAAGTGTCTAAATGTTACAGTTAGTATATATACAGACATGGCACCCAGTTCTTGCTAAAGTAGTCCAGAGTAGTGACACATAGTGCCCAGGTCTTGGTTTCTGTTACAAAACAGAACTAGTGAATGGTGTCAGTAGGAAGAAGAGAAAGTGTAGGTCCACACCCCACAAAAAACAATGACATTATAATTTAAAGACCAAGATTCTTTCATGAGAAATCCAGAATCCAGTTAAGTTTCCATACCATGGAAGAACACAAACCAGAAAATATTTCTGATTCCTGTGATTAGAACGAATGAGGGCTGAGTTCTCTTTCCTCTAAGAAAATGTCAGCAAAATAGAAAAAACTTGATGAAATTTTACCTAAACACACTGGAACAAAAAGAGAGATGCAAATCAACTGAAATCAGAAATAAAAATTAAGACATCACCACCAGGTTTACAGAAATAAAAAGCGTAATCAATGAGGGAAGACTGAGAAATATTACATGCAACAAATTAGTTAACTGGAAAAAAATCAAAAGGAGATGATTCAAGGTGCAGAGGCCAAATGGCAGAATTGATCCTTGTCCAATCTGCCATCTTTGTTTATATTAATAGATTTCATTAGGTCATTGGCATCTGTAGTACAGTATTCTTCCTGTGTCATTAGGCAGGTTAAAGAGTTAGCAACACCACGCAGCCTATTCCTCAGATACATATTATAGTTGCAATGTGCTATGTCAGGAGTTTCGAGTAGCTCTAAAGAAAGACCATTGTTTAAAGTTACTGTTATGTGGACAGGTTCAGGCATAGTGAAGCTTTGTAAATCATTGTGGTTGTATAACAAGAGAGTTTCTGTATTCCCAGGAGCTTTGTGTCTAAGATAAAGGGCAAGGCTGACTTTTAGAAGATACAAAAAAATGAGTCATAAAATGGAGTGCACATTTGTAATTCCAGCCACTCAGGAGGGTGAAGATAAAGAATGATAGGTTATCTCTTTGATGTTCCTTGATTAATTTCCTGTGGATGTAGCTCAGTGATAAAGTACCTCTGGGATTAATCCCCATTAATTTCTAAAATATAAAAAGATATGAAAAAATTGAATATGTAAGAATTGAAGAGATCAAATAAATTTTCAAAAAGTTCCCAAGAGAGTCCATTATTTTGTGGGCTTACTGGTGAAGCCTATTAAACTTTTGAAAAATTAATACAAATGCTTATCAATCTTTTCCAAAGCATAAAAGAGTAGGGCATATTTCCTGATTTATTCCATAAGTCTATATTTTTCTGATACCAAAGACATTGTTAACATCATTATATATTTGTCAAAACCCATAGAATTTTCAAAACCAAGACTAATATAAACTATTGACTTTGAGGGATAAAAGTGTGCCAAAAAGAATTTGTCTTATGAATGAAAGGGTGGTACAACATAAAAAATATCAGTAAATGTAATACATCATATTAACACAGAAAATAAAAATCTCAATGATAATTTCAGTTGATATGAAAAAGCCATTTGACAAAATGGAAGACTTGTTATTTTTTTTCTTAAGAATTACAAAAACTAGGTAATGAAGGGAACCTTCTCAAAAAGATAAAGCAGGTTTATGAAAAATCTACAGCTAACATTATTCTAAATAGGGAAATACTAAAACTGTTTGCTCTCATATCCAGAACAAGAGAGGTATTCCTTTTTTTTACCTCTGCTGTTCAACAGTGTACTGATAATTTTAGATAGATCAATTAGGCAAAAAATAAAGAAAGAAAAAAGAGACATTCAAGTTAGATAGGGAGAAGTAAAACTTTTTATCCCTGTTTTCAATGATATGATTCCATAGATAGAAAATGCCAAAGAATCTGAGATAAAAAATACCAGTGCCAAAGGCCAGGTGCGGCAGCACGTGGCTGTAATCCCAGCAGCTCATGAGGCTGAGTCAGGAGGATCACAAGTTCAAAGCCAGCCTCAGCAATTTAGTGAGCAACTGAGAAACTCAGTGAGATCCTGTCTCTAATAAAAAATACAAAATAGGGATGTGGCTCAGTAATTGAGTGCCCCTGAGTTGAATCCCTGG